ATTTGATTACAGCACTTAAGTCACATTTTTAAATGTCGAGGATTAAGGCGAGATTAGCGGTTGGTGGACTTTGAATGTAAACTCGATGAAACTCTATCCAACCTGTCTACTTGTGCACACTAAACACGGGCTTGTATCAATGAGCATCGCCTCTCTCCATCCCAATCCAAGAGCGCTCATTTGACGACTTGAAGAGTCATGCCCACAATCATGAAGTCTGAAATTTGAAATGACTTAAGACTTTGTGCTTTAAACTGTAAACGCATTCTTTCTAGTGCACTGAATTCGCCATTATACTCAGCTCCGTGTCACAAAATGAATTTAGTGCGCTAGAAAGGGCGCGTTTAGATTTTCAGCAAGAAGTACAACTCGAAGAGGAAATCTCGACGAGCTTGTTTACCTCTTTTGTGCTTTAGCAATAGCGTTCACTTCTTGTTCCATGATTGTTGTAAGATCGGCGTGCGGGAGAAGTCGAGGAGTGTATGTGGAGAGGAGATCGCCCAGTTGAGCTCCCAACGTTCCAAGCGATCGTCCAAGTGGCCACAAATCGGACCAAAGGATTTTCACCAATGTCACCTAAATAAAGTTGTTAAACTTGCTTTGAGTGTTCTCTATGTGCGCTTAGAATCGTACAGTACCTGGCACACCGTTATACATAATCCAATATCACCAAAATACTTAAATCAATCAAAGCTAAAAAGAAAAACCAAGGCCGGACTCGAACCCTAGCTCGAACTGGACTCGTCGCTTTGCGTTCAAGCCCACTACCACTCGGCCACCACGACAGCTTTGTGGCCGCCGGGAAAGTCGGGTTATAACCTCTGCTTTTTACGATTCTACACCAAACTTTGAGGGCTTATAACTTTTGATAGAGTGCTCGATAGAAGAAACAAAAAGCAGATTCGGAATCAGCGTGAAATTCTGCATCAGATAGTATTTGGTCGTATCATTTGGTGGGTTTCAAAAATGGTACCGTAGCTTTAAACAAGTCAATTCGTTAGTTTAAAGCTGGATTTTCGAGCACTGAATTACTGGATTCAAATCGCGTTTTTCAGAAAGATTCAATTGGGTTACGGTAGCTTGAACAAGACAAATGGATTACGATAACTTTAAGAGCAATTCTCTACCTGATTATTTCTCGAAGCTAGCTGAATTGTTGACCGAACCATTCCATGTAACATCCATCTCTTTTGCTCGTCTTTTCCCAACAAATATCGCACGAGAAGTCGCTGAAATGTTCGGGGTAAGCCAAGTTCAAGTAAGCCAAGTTCAAGTACAGCTTTTAAGTACAAATAAGCCAAGTACAAGTAAGCCAAGTACAAGTAAGCCAAGTACAAGTAAGCCAAGTACAAGTAAGCCAAGTACAAGTAAGCCAAGTACAAGTAAGCTTCTAAGTACAAGTAAGCCAAGTACAAGTAAGCCAAGTACAAGTACAGCTTTTAAGTACAAATAAGCAAAGTTCAAGTAGCTTTTAAACTCAAATACCTTGAACAAAAGCAAATTCTCGAGTTGTGAAATCAGTTGATCAGCGAGTTGACACTCGATCAAGTCTAAAAAGAATTTTATAGCTTTTACTAGATGCTAATGTTCGACAAAAGCCAGGGTAAGACCAAAAAAAAACGATCGGAAAATTGGGTAAAACTTTTTCCAACACATTTTTACCGTCATTCTCTCGTTCAAGACAGTCTAGAATGGAAAAATTCGATTCTTTAAAAGAAATTTACCTTCAAATCTTCAGCTAACAACTCAGAATTCAGCTAAGATTCAGAAATTTCGCTTAAAATATTCAGCTTTGATGAAATTTGATGAAATTTGATGAAATTGATGAAATTTGATGAAAAAGATGAAATTTTAGGATTTAAATGAGGAAATGAGCTAGATTCTGGCCTAGATTACTGTAAGATTTAATGTAAATATAAGTTTAAACGTTATAAGTTTAAACGTTTGTTAATCAAAAATGTTTAGCTAGATGTTTAGCTAGATATTTAGCTGTTTATTTGCCTTTGACCATACCGGTGCTTGCCACTTGTTCCTCTTGTGGAAGTGCGCGAATGGCGGTGACGAGAAGGTCGACCATATTGCCCGAAACGGCATCCGGTAGCTGACAAGCGATCGACAACAACCAACTCAGCTGAAAGTTGAATTGAAACTTCTTCAACTCTTTCTACGGTAATCTTTTCCGAAATGAATTAAACGAGATCCAAATTGGATCATATCAGATAATCGATTAGATCCGAATCAGATCAGATCAGATCAAATCCGAATTGAAACAAATCAGTTCCGAATGCGTTTATGAAGCCACTTAAGTTATGTAAATGTAAGTGTAAGTGTAAATGCTAGGGGAATCTGCAAAACTCAAAGCCAATTCGATTCTATCGGAACATTTCTTGGCACAAACTGGTTAAAATTGGTTAAAATTGGTCAAAATTGGTCAAAATTGGTTAAAACTGGTTAAGACTGGTTAAAATTGGTTGAAATTGGTTGAAACTGGTTAAAATTGGTTAAGACTGGTTGAAATTGGTTGAAATTGGTTAAAATTGGTTAAAATTGGTTAAAATTGGTTAAAATTGGTTAAAATTGGTTGAAATTGGTTGAAATTGGTTGAAATTGGTTAAAATTGGTTGAAACTGGTTAAAACTGGTTAAGACTGGTTAAAATTGGTTGAAATTGGTTGAAACTGGTTAAAACTGGTTGAAACTGGTTAAAATTGGTTAAGACTGGTTGAAATTGGTTAAACTGGTTAAAATTGGTTAAAATTGGTTAAGACTGGTTGAAATTGGTTAAAATTGGTTAAAATTGGTTAAGACTGGTTGAAATTGGTTGAAATTGGTTGAAACTGGTTAAAGCTGGTTGAAACTGGTTAAAATTGGTTAAGACTGGTTGAAATTGGTTAAAATTGGTTAAAACTGGTTAAGACTGGTTAAAATTGGTTGAAATTGGTTGAAACTGGTTAAAATTGGTTAAGACTGGTTGAAATTGGTTGAAATTGGTTGAAATTGGTTGAAATTGGTTAAAATTGGTTGAAACTGGTTAAAACTGGTTAAGACTGGTTAAAATTGGTTGAAATTGGTTGAAACTGGTTAAAACTGGTTGAAACTGGTTAAAATTGGTTAAGACTGGTTGAAATTGGTTAAAATTGGTTAAAATTGGTTAAGACTGGTTGAAATTGGTTAAAACTGGTTAAAATTGGTTAAAATTGGTTAAGACTGGTTGAAATTGGTTAAAATTGGTTAAAATTGGTTAAGACTGGTTGAAATTGGTTGAAATTGGTTGAAACTGGTTAAAGCTGGTTGAAACTGGTTAAAATTGGTTAAGACTGGTTGAAATTGGTTAAAATTGGTTAAAATTGGTTAAGACTGGTTGAAATTGGTTAAAATTGGTTAAAATTGGTTAAGACTGGTTGAAATTGGTTAAAACTGGTTAAAATTGGTTAAATTGGTTAAGACTGGTTGAAATTGGTTAAAATTGGTTAAAATTGGTTAAGACTGGTTGAAATTGGTTGAAATTGGTTGAAACTGGTTAAAGCTGGTTGAAACTGGTTAAAATTGGTTAAGACTGGTTGAAATTGGTTAAAATTGGTTAAAATTGGTTAAGACTGGTTGAAATTGGTTAAAATTGGTTAAAATTGGTTAAGACTGGTTGAAATTGGTTAAAACTGGTTAAAATTGGTTAAAATTGGTTAAGACTGGTTGAAATTGGTTAAAATTGGTTAAAATTGGTTAAGACTGGTTGAAATTGGTTGAAATTGGTTGAAACTGGTTAAAATTGGTTAAAATTGGTTAAAATTGGTTGAAATTGGTTAAAATTGGTTGAAATTGGTTGAAATTGGTTGAAATTGGTTGAAATTGGTTAAAACATAAAAAAACATGAAGCATTACCTTCTCACAAGCGATCTCTCTCCAAACTTGTGGCCTTTCCGTAGCTGCTTCAGACATTTTGTTGACAATCTGTAAATCTTAGTTGAATAGTTAACCGCTGAGAAAATGAATAGCATTTTCGCTATCAATACAGTCTAAGCTTTAGCTTTATAAGCTTTGCTTTAGGACAATAACTTCTCTGCATCAAGTAGACTTCCTCCAGCAGTAACTAGAGCGTATCTAGAGCCAGAGACAGTTTGCCTAAGTCCACAGCGTTGCCCACAACTTTGCCCACAGCTTTGCCCACAACTTTGCCCACAACTTTGCCCACAGCTTTGCCCACAACTTTGCCCAGATATCTCTGAGATATCTCTGAGACATTCTCAACTGAATAACAATGTCACTTGTGTTGAAATCTATAATGATTTTAAAATCTAGACCTCAACCATTTGTGTGAGCTGTGAATGGGTGGGTGGAGCACCATTTGCCGAGTTCAGTTTCTCATTCAGTTGTGCGATTTGGCCGCTTATCACGTGCTAAAATCGTTTTTAAACTTTCTTTCTTCCTTTCTTCCTTTCTTCCTTTCATTCTTTCTTTCTTCCTTTCTTTCTTTCTTCCTTCCTTTCTTTCTTCCTTCCCTTCTTTCTTTATCCATTTTCTAAACATACCCGACTCTTCACAAGACGATATTTATTTTTATCGTTATCATTGATAGCGATGAGAAGTTTCCTTGTCAAACGACGAACTGTTCCCACGGAGCAACTCAACATCAACTGAAAAGGGAAAGGCTCAACCAAATGCTATGCAACTTATACCATTCGACGCAAAATTTGACATGGCTTTTTTTATGGTTTTGTATGGTTTTTATGGCTTTTTTATGGATTTATATGGCTTTTTCTATGACTTTATATGGCTTTATATGGTTTTATATGGCTTTATATTATTTTTATGCCTTTTTTTATGGCTTTATATGATTGTTTTATGACTTTTCAACTATTTCAGTCTTTTCGTCGTCGTTCTTTTTCTTCTTCAACTCCTCACCTGACACAACACTTCATTCCACTCGTTTGCAAAAGTGACTCCAAGATTTTTGTGTAACAAGTAAGGCAATCGGAGAACACAATCGGTGACCATTAAATGATATCCATCGGCGCAGGCCCAATGCTTTGGATATTGATTCAACAGATCGCTTTGTCCTTTAAAAATGATTTGTTTGTGATGGGATTGTTCGTGATGGGATTGTTCGTGATCAGCTTGTTTATGATGGGATTGATCAGCCAAAATTCAAGCCCAAATTCAAGCTGATTTTAAAAACCTGGTAGCTACTCACCCTTTTCATAATCTCTCATCCATCTCTTCAGCACTCGATCCGGTTCTTGCCAACTTTTCCAGTAAATATCGGCTTGTTGCAATGTTTGGAGACAAATCCCAATGCATCCACTTCCAATCAGTAATGAGCACAGTTGATAAAGCTCTTTTTTTCTGAATTTATTAAAGTTAATGAATGAACAAACAAAGAAAATCAGAAAAACTTCTCAAGGTCCTAGGAAATTATTAAATGAGCCAAGAACAAGGTCACTAACTGAATGCACTAACTGGTGCAGATTTAAAAAGCGAAACGTGTACTTTGTGCTCGAAAAGCTTGTAACATCTGCTTGTAAACGATGAACAAAGCTAATGACTAAGCTAATGAGAAAGCTAATGAGAAAGCTAATGACTAAGCTAATGACTAAGCTAATCCCTAAGCTAATCCCTAAGCTAATCACTGATCTTTTCAAATAAACAGTTAAACTTATAAACTATCAAACATTTCTCACTCATAACGTTTTCTAAAAAGTGTTAACTGAAAAGTGATCTTGAATTGAAATCATTAATTCTGTATTTTCTCTAATAGTAGTGCACCATGAGCTGCCTAAATTCCTCGAAATCTCGAGAACCGTTTATCAGAACCTATCGATGTGGGGTCGGAAAATGTAGCTGACGACGAGATCTTGACAATGATTAGAGTGTTGAGCTTCTGGGAAAGCTTTGGAGCCGTAAAATAGGCATCAACTCGGCTCGGCATAGTGCACTACTATTAGAGAAAACGGTAGTCTTTATAACTTAACAATTTATACCTTTTAGATTATATTATTGATATAATCAAATATCAAACCCAAATCTTTCTACTTATTAGTCGATTTCTTGTACAATTTCTTGTACAACTCTTACTTTTCCAATTTGCTTGTATCATTTTCAAGTCTTGGTGTCTTTTCTCTTGTCGGTTCAAGTCTTGGTGTCTTTTCTCTTGTCGGTGTTGCCTCTCGTGTTCCATCACCATCTTCTGATTCATTTTCTTCAGATGGATGTGAGATTTCCTAGAAAAATAGTAATAAAAAGTGAAGAAGATGTAAAGTAAAAGGATTCTAGAAAGATAGATGAAGAGCTTAATGTAGATGAGCTTCTAGATGAAGAGCTTAATGTAGATGAGCTTCTGGATGAAGAGCTTAATGTAGATGAGCTTCTAGATGAAGAGCTTAATGTAGATGAGCTTCTAGATGAAGAGCTTAATGTAGATGAGCTTCTAGATGAAGGCTTAATGTAGATCAGCTTCTGGATGAAGAGCTTAATGTAGATGAGCTTCTAGATGAAGAGCTTAATGTAAAAGAATTTCAAGATTCTAGAAAGATATTGATAAAAGCTGAAGAGCTTACTCTACTTTTGCCTTAAGCCCTTTACCATTTAGTACTATTTTTCCATGATTCTTAAGTTCTTTTGCCTTAAAGCTCATCACCATTTATCACTATTTTTTGCTAGAAAGATTCTTAAAATAAAAAAAATGACGAATTTAAGGTAAAAGATGAAAAAAGGATGGTAAAAAGTAAAATTAAAGTAAATTAAAGTAAATTAAAGTAAATGAAGAATTTAAAAAAAGCAAAATGAGGCCTTTAAACTAATTAAACTTAATTTCAAAAGTACTTTAAAAGATAAAGATTAAAAGTTTTTAAGGTAATAAAGATTTTTTTCGAAATTCTTTTTAATATTTTATTGTAAACCTTTGAGAATTTGAGCGGTGATCGCGCTTTTCGATCGTTCATTTCTTCCCATTTTTGTAAAAGCACTGAGATGATTCTCAACAAAAGAAGTTGTCTAGAAATTTTCAATTTTTAACGTTTTAATTATATAATTTATATAAAAGATTATAATAATTCTTTCAATTATAAAGCTTTACCTGAAATTTTCACTTTGTGGCTCGAGTAGATTCTGATTGTTGAAATCAATCATTTTGATGAGACTTTCTGAGACGAGCACCACTAATTTCGAAGGAAGCTGGGCAAGCAATACTAAAATGTTATTTAGATTTGTGATTATTTAGATTTGTAATTATTTAGATTTTGACTTAAAAATGAAGAAAGGATAAAATTTAAAATGTTCGTTAGTTTTAAGGAAATAAGAATTTGATTATAATTCTTATTTCAAGTCGACTAGCATTACTTTACGGGATCGACAGTCCATTCGTGCAAGTGAGAGCACGAACGGGGAATCGAACCCGGGATGTTCGGGATGAGAAACGAGAGCTTTACCAATGCACTAGCTTGATAGGGAGAGGGGAGGGGAAAAGAAGGGCTTTATGAAAAGAGGCTGAACAATTTGATCGACAGTCTATTGCAAGTGAGAGCACCAACGGGGAATCGAACCCGGGATGTTCAGGATGAGAAACGAGAGCTTTACCAATGTACTAGCTTGACAGGGAGAGGGGACAGGGAAAGAAGGGCTTTATGAATAGAGGCTGAACAATTTTGGGACTTTTGAACATGTCCATTCGTGCAAGTGAGAGCACCAACGGGGAATCGAACCCGTGATGTTCAGGATGAGAAACGAGAGCTTTACCAATGTGCTAGCTTGATAGGGAGAGAGGACAGGGAAAGAAGGGTTTTATGAAAAGAGGCTGAACAATTTGCTTGAACAAAAACAATTGAACTTGCTGTAATCTGTCGAGCACTTTAAACTACCGTAATTCTAGATATCTAGATTCCCTCACCGATACTCATCGCAATCAATGCATTCGCTTGCTGTGAATCCGGTCGCAACCTCTCGATTCTCCTCATCCCATCCATTTCTTCATCATTTTCCTCGTTTTCCTCTCTTTCCTCTCTTTCCATTCTCGTCTTTCCAGCGATTTTTTCGATTGTTTTCTTTAAAAGACTCAACACCCATCCACATTCTGAAAAAGTAATCTTTAACTTTTGATTACCATAAATCTAATAGTAACTTCCCCCATCGAGAGGGGGGAGGGACGGGGTATTCCCGCGTAGTCTAACTTTAAACACTCCATTCTCCGCACTCCTTTATGCTACAGTGTGCGCTCAAATTTCAAATGATAGCCCTTGAAATCTAGTATTTTTTGGTAATAAAAGTGTAGTTGGGAAAAATCTAGAAGCTGAGAAAAAAGTCAGACTACGAGATGGTACGCGGAGGGGGACGCTACTAGAGGTATTACGGTATATTATGGTCTATTATATTAGGTATATTATATTAGGTATATTATATTACGGTATATTATATTAGGTCTATTATATTAGGTCTATTATATTAGATCTATTATATTAGATCTATTATATTAGGTCTATTATATTAGGCCTATTATATTAGGTCTATTATATTACAGTCTATTATATATCCAAACCAAGCACCAACCTTTATTTTCTTCAAAAAGATCCCGATCATCTGTGCCCAATTCGTTTGCAGAGATCGTTTTTCCCATGCGTTTTTCGATCTAAAACATTTTGAAAGCTAAACTCTTCAAGCTAGCTTTAACAATTCGAAAAAACTGCTTCAATTTATCGTAATCGTTTTTCAACAACGATTTTCTAGGTCTCTCTATTGTCTAAATCAATTTTCCTTTTGATTTCCTATCGATACTCATCATTCCTATCGAACTCCTATCGAATTCCTATCGAATTCCTATCGATTTGCAATAAGATAGAATCGTTTTAGCCTAATGAATTAGGAATTCGGTAGGAATGATGAGTTTTAAAAAGGAATATTGATTCACACAGTACCTAGAAGTCCGAAATTTCATTTATTTAGTTTATTTAGTTTATTTTAGTTTAGTTTAATTTTATTCACCTCTTTATAATCTCCATCCTCATCGATCAACTTGCTGACTGTGTAGAAAGGGAGAGCTCCACCGTTCTTCAACACTCGTCGATTTGCTCCAAATCCTGGAAGGAATTTTTGGTAGTTCTTTGGATGTACTTTGTGCTCAAAGTACATCCAAAGCTTTCTTGTAAACACACGCTTTCTAGTGCACTCGTTGTGGTTCTAGCTCTAGTTTTGAAATTAAAAACACATGTATTGAGTAATTGGAAGGCCTTGAAAGCTTTTTTGGTGTTTTTTTGTTAGATCACTGCTAGATTACTGCTAGATTACTGCTAGATTACTGCTAGATTACTGCTAGATTACTGCCAGATTACTGCTGGATTACTGCTAGATTGCTGCTAGATTACGGCTAGATTACGGCTAGATTACTGCTAGATTACCGCTAGATTACTGATAGATTGCTGCTAGATTACTGCTAGATTACTGCCAGATTACTTTCCCAAAAGGAAACTTGTTCTTTGAAGTGTACTTTGTGCTTTAAACAACCCTAAACACAGCCTTTCTAGTGCTCATTTTCAACACCAAATCAATGTTGTGTGAAAACTGTCGAATCAAGTGCCCCAGAAAGGCTTTAAATTGCAAATTTGAAGCCTATTTGAAGCTTAGAATTGATTCTAATTATGTGATAGAGATAAATGGTGATTTGTACAATAGATACAATAGATTTGTTAGAACAATTTGTTTTCTTTCTTTCTTTCTTTCTTTCTTTCTTTCTTACCTTTTGCTAAATTTCGATCTGCTCTCGATACGCCAACAAAAGTTTGAATCAAACGCTGAGAGACAATGCGCAGTTTTGATGAGTGTTTCGATGTCTGAAAAGATTTTTTTTGCATCAAATTAAGCCTGAAACTAATCTAATCTAAATCTAAATAATCTAGATTATCTAGATTATTTAGATTATATAATTTCAAATCGAATTTACCTTTTGATTAGTAAATAGCTCAAGATAACGCTCTTCGATTTCGTTCTTTTGTGGATTCCCGGTGGAAAGCGCATGGAAAACGACGAGTACGTAGAGCTCGATTAGACCTAGAAATGCTAATTTTATAGATTATCAATGCTAATCTTTAGCTTTAGCTTTCGCTTTAGCTTATTTAGTTTTTAGTCTTTAGTTTTTAGCCTTTTTACCTGTTGAATCTCCAGAGATCATGCCAAGTTGCTCTGCCAGAAATTGACAAAAGTTCATCGTGTCGTTAAACACTGAAATTGATTCTTAACAAGGTTTTTTCTTAACCTTTGTCTAGAAGTATACTGTATTAGTCTATAGTATTGTACTGTACAGAAAAAACTATTGTCCTGCTAGCCCTGCTAGCCAGAAAGTGGCCAACAACAGCTATGACCGATCGCTTGGCTTTCTGGCTTGGTTTTAGCCAGCCAAGCCAAGCCAAGCCAAGCCAAGCCAAGCCAAGCCAAGCCAAGCCAAGCCAGCCAAGCCAGCTAAGCCAGCCAAGCCAGCCAAGCCAGCCAAGCCAGCCAAGCCAAGCTATCGGTCATAGCCAATCAATTAAATCAATTAAACATAAAATCAACTAAACACTAACTTTCTTTAACAATTTTCTCATAGAGAATCACTCTTGTTGAAAGCATCAATTTGATGTGATTGATGTAAACAGGCAAGATATCCATTGGAATCGAGTGAACACCCAGAAAATGGAATCTAAAGATGCAAATAAAAGATTCTCTGACAAACACAAACTCTCTGAAATCATTAAAGATCGCTCGATCTCTATAGTTGTAGTAATCGTTCAACGATGGGACAGCAGTACGGAGAAGGGTTGAAGCTGAGATCGAGAGTTGCGAATGAGCCGCACGAGGCGCACAAGCACCGGCACCGAGATGCACTGGCAGCTCAGAGGCCTGGAAATATCGGCTAGACATCTAAAACTGTGCTCTCACTTTATATTCGATTCCAGCTCCAATCGTGTTTGTGTAGAGATCGATGAGGCGAGTGAGGAAACGTTGTGGGAGAGTGAGGGGAGAAGTGAGGCAACGAGTCGGCGACGGCCAATCGAATTCACCCCTTGATACACCGAATAGCTGGAAAATGGGATTGTAGATAGAGACTATAGTAGAGACTATAATAGTAGGGACTCTTCAGACAATTTAGTCAGCCAACCAGCTAGCCAGTCAGCCAGCCAGTCAGTCAGCCAGCCAGTCAGCCAGCCAGTCAACCAGCCAGCTAGCCAGTCAGCCAGCCAGCTAGCCAGTCAGCCAGCTAGCCAGCTAGCCAGCCAGTTAACCAGCCAGTCAGCTAGCCAGCCACAACTTAGCCAGCCTAGCCTAGGTCTACTGTAGGTTTACCCTACAAAAGCCAGGTCTGGCTTCCTGGTCTGGTGGTGGTATGACCTGGGTCTAACCTGGCTTAGGTTACAGGACCAAGGGCTTGATTGGAACATTCAACAAGCCCAAGTCCTAGAACACTCTCAGAATTCAAGCCAAGTCCTGATATTCGTTCTATAGCCTATCAAGATTGTAAGGGACACCAGAGAGACTCTTGATGAGTTACGATCACCGTCGCTGTTAAGAGCCTCTTGAAAAGATGCCTATCCCTTGCACTCATAACTAAGGGGTAGAGGTTTTGTTTGGAACGGTCCCGTGGTTCCAGAGTTCGATCCCCGGTGGGCGTAGAGGCATAGAGGATTTCTTTTGAGGCTCAGGCCTTGCTCCGGCCTTGAACTTTACTGTAGCTTTCCTGCAGCTTTGCTGTAGCTTTGCTGTAGCTTTACTGTAGCTTTACTGCAGCCTTACCGAAGCGTTTAGCCGTTCTCTTTCAAACGTCTTAACCAAAAGGAGCACAGTATACTGTATCTTTGTTTGTAAGAAAGTAATGTCTAGTACAAATCATCGAATAGTGAGATTGATTAAGATTGATTTTACCTGAATGCTCGTGATCGCAGTTTGTCCAAAAGGATTTGTCGAATGGTGGAATTTGAGGAGAAAAGATTTTTCCCTAAAAATTTCGATTTTAAAGCTTCAAACTCTTTCTTACAAAGCCAAGGATTGTTGACGCGTGAGCTTTATATCATGAGATCTTGTGGCATCGCATTGAAGTGGGTAGAATCCATCGAGAAAAGTGACCGCAGCAGGGCAACGAGTTGTCGAGACCTAGAAATGAAGCTTAGCTGCTTAGCTTAGCTGCTTAGCCTAGCTACTTAGCCTTAGCTACTTAGCCTAGCTACTTAGCCTTAGCTACTTAGCTTAGCTACTTAGCTTAGCTACTTGTAAACACACCCTTTCTAGCAAAGTGATCTATCTCTTCGATATCTTTAAAATCTTGTTTTCAAAAAAGCTCACCTCAATTCGGATCGCTCGCACAACGACATTCCACTCTTGAACTCGAACCTCCATCTCGATATCTTCTTTCTGAAAGATTTGGCTTGTCATTGCCATCATTGCCGCAATGGCCGACTGGCTAAGAGTCTTGTATCTTAATCGGGAGGCAGTCGGGTGATCAAGGGTTCAATCCCGCCGACTAGATTATTCTTTTTTCGTGTCAGTTTTTTCTTTCCAACATTTAGGGCTTACTAGGGACCCCTTCGGATTTACTTTCAAAACCGGAGTAAGCCTATTTTGAACCAAATTTTTCACTGATTCAAAGAAGCGACGTCGTTTGTGAATTGCGATTAAATGCTTGAAAGAATTTGTTCGTAAAAAATAGGATTTCAGTTTTAGAAGCTACCGTGATAAGGAGCTGTTTTAGAGTGCGAACAATGTGTCGCTGTGGCCGAGTGGATAGTAAGCTAACGTGGCAATTGTTTGTCGGTTAGATTCCGGCTCGATTCTGGTTCGATTCCGGCTCGATTCTGGTTAGATTCCAGCTGGATTCCGGCTGGATTCCGGCTGGATTCCAGCTCGATTCTGGTTCGATTCCGACTCGATTCTGGCTCGATTCCGATTCGATTTCGGTCAACGCACATTTCAAATCAAAAGCTAATGTGTCGCTGTGGCCAAGTGGATAGTAACCTAGCGTGCCAATTGATTGTCGGTTAGATTCCGGTTCGATTCCAGTTAGATTCCGGCTCGATTCCGGTTCGATTCCGGTCAAAGAGCATTTCAAAACAAAAGCTAGCATTCTTGTCTTTCCAATGAAAGAATTTGCAGATTGATAGCTTGTTGATAGCTTCTATTGTTTGATAGCTTCTATTGTTCTGTTCTGAACGGTTAAACATTAGCTTACCGTTTGTATCGATAAGTCTACTAACTACTAAACTATTTACAAACTGGTTACGGTAATCGGGCTATTTTTTTAAATCCGGTTGTTTGTATGGTTTTTTGTTTTTTTTAGGGTAATCTTTCCGACTACGGTAGAAATTTCTTTGGGTTACTGTAACAGTTACTAACTTGGTAACAGTTACTAACTTGGTAATAGTTACTAACTTGGTAACTGCTACAGTAAACGACTACGGTAATCGGGCTTTAAAACCCTTAAACATTGAATAAAGTACCGTAGTCCAAAGTGGTAACATTTGGATAAAGTATTTTCAGATTTTCTTTTAAAGTTACCTGCAAAATAGTGACAGGCATCGATCCAACGGTTGAGAGTCTCTTCGTGAGATCATCTGGATCATAATACTGCTTCAGTGCATCACAAGAGAAAGAAACGCGCGTGATTGGGGTGGAGAATTCGAAGATCTGGATTTAAGCTTGGGTTTTTCTATTCTATGGAATTTTAGAAAACTTACAGTAACGAGATCCTCTTGTGGAGTCTCTTGAACGCTTTCTTCTCGTTTCTCCTCACTCTCGTCGATGGAGCGAATCTCGCGCGGGAAATCAGCGATCCACAGATCCCGTTCGTGGTTCCAGTTGCTAGAAATTTCTTTGCTTTGATTTCTTTTTGATTTAGGCTATTGCTATTGCTATTGCTTCACAGGATAGCGCAAAAATTCGGTTTTTTTTTTACTTATCTAAAAGTTTAGATCAATTAAACTCGATTTCTAATGGTAGAATGAATAGAGCAATAAAATGAATAGCGTCAATCGATTCGCCGACCTTGAAAACCCCAGGTACAAATCCGGAGATCACTTTTGATTACTTGACTCTATAGAATGGATAGTACCGACTCTAAAGTACATTACTGTTTCTGGTAGTATGAGAAATGCTTTTGGAAAAAAACTAGTATCGAATTCGAATCTCCACCCTCGAAAACCCTTAAGTACAATCAAGCGGAAATGGCTTTATTGCGAATTTGTTAAACAGCAGCTAAAGCGGGAGAATAATGCGATCCAATAGTTGAGTTGAGTTTATTACCGTAAATACTGTAATAGTACCCCAGCTCCATAATGACGGTGCGGAGTGTTGTGTAGTCTAGCTTTGGACGCGTTTTTCTCGACACTGGTTTATGCTACAATGCGCGCTTAGGTCTCAAAAAATAGCCCTGAATTTCAGCTATTTTTTGATACCTCAGCGAGCATTGTAGCATAAACCAGTGTCGAGAAAAACGCATCCAAAGCTAGACGCATTTTTTGAAAGTACGGGCGCTTTGAAAAACAATGAAATACTAAAAACCTTTGGCGACTACGACTACGCGACTGTACGAGGGCGGTGGAGTGCTATTACAGTATTTACGGTAGGTTTTCTTAGGTTTTCTTAGATTTTCTTAGGTTTTCTTAGGTTTTCTTAGCTTTTTCTTAGCTTCTAAACTTGCCTAGTGAAGACAGCACATCTTTTAATTGGATCGTTCAGAAGAAAAACGGACAAGTGCCCGTTTGCTGTTGGATTCGTCCACAAAACATGTGAAGAAGCAGCTTTTTCGAGCTCGATTTGCTAAAAAGTAGCAATGTTTGCGTGTTTGAACCGATTTTTTTACAGTTCACAGTAAAAATTTACTTGAGTTAGCAGCGTTTTCATCGTCGGATAAATGAAGGTGGCTAGGGTTGGCTTTGTGTGATGAATGGCTGACAAAAGGCCGTCACTTTCATGCCAACAATGAAGTGGATCCGAGACTTGAAGTCTACAAAGGTATTGGGCTATGGGCACGATTTAGAAACGGCTTAGAAACGGCTACGCTTCTGTACTAATCAAAGCACAAAGCACAAAGTACATTAAAGCACAAAGTACATTTCTACAAATAAAACAAACCTCTTGAAGTGCTCAGTCGCTAATTTCCCCAAATCTCCGTTTGGTATTTGAGCGTAAAATGTAGCCGATGTATTTGAGACAAAGAGAAGCTGAGTGGCTTTCGAGTAGTGCATAGAGCTAGAAATCTCTATCATTCAACAATTGACCGTCATAGTTGACTAGCTTCATGGTTGACTAGTTCTGTATCTTAGCCGAGAGCTCGAAAGGTCGAGGGTTCGATCCCGCCGACTGCCTTTTTTCAATCCAATTACCAATTCAATCCAAATATTAGTTTTTTCTACATTTAGGGCTTCGAGCCGGTGTTTGGCTGGTTGTTTTTGTCTAATTATTCGACAGAATACTGTATTTTATGACTCACATAGCTGTGCTGACTTGTGGTAGATTTACGTTGTTTGTCAAGAAAAATGAGCCGACTTCGAGTTGATCATCGACATCTCGGTCTTGCATTTGGTGAATGTAGAGATGACCCTGAAGAAGTCTTTAGCTTTGAAAAGGTTTTTTGAAAGAAAGTATTCAGCTAATAAAGCTGAATATCTTTTAACTTGAGGCTAACGATATGCTGTACTCTAAAGACTATAGTACTAGTAATTTAGCGAAAGATTACAGTAACTTAGCTTAACTGTAACTTAAGTAAGATTACAGTAACTTAACTAAAGATTACGGAACTTAACTAAAGATTACAGTAACTTAACTATAAGTTACTGCGTTACTATAAGTTGGGATTACAGTAAGTCACCTTGATCCAACTTATAGCTAAGCTTACGGTAATCTAGTACTAGTCTGTACTAGTTAGGGCTACAGTACTTCTGTACCTAGTTAGGGCTGGTACTAGTCTGTACCTAGTTAGGGCTACAGTACTTCTGTACCTAGTTAGGGCTAGTAATAGTCTGTACCTAGTTAGGGCTAGTACTAGTCTGTACCTAGTTAGGGCTGCAGTACTAGTCTGTACTAGTTAGGGCTACAGTACTTCTGTACCTAGTTAGGGCTAGTACTAGTCTGTACCTAGTTAGGGCTAGTACTAGTCTGTACCTAGTTAGGGCTAGTACTAGTCTGTACCTAGTTAAGGCTAGTACTAGTCTGTACCTAGTTAGGGTTAGTACTAGTCTGTACCTAGTTAAGGCTAGTACTAGTCTGTACCTAGTTAAGGCTAGTACTAGTCTGTACCTAGTTAAGGCTAGTACTAGTCTGTACCTAGTTAGGGCTAGTACTAGTCCTAATCCATTTACCGTAATCTAGTACTAATAGTCAGCTACCGTAATCCAGTATGAATACTTACCGTAATCCATATAACATTTCAAAAATTTAGCCCTAATCCAATAGATCTAATAAAGCACTCTTTACTGCTCTAATATTTGCTCTAATAAAAGAACACTCTTTACACTAACTTGTGAAGAAAGTACGGCAACTTTTGGCCCACCGGCCTCGGTAACATCCACCAAAAGATCGACGACATTGCCTAAAACTTTTAAACATTTTTCACAAAGTGATCTAGATTTATGACACTTCGATTAAATCTCCAATCGATCAAGAGTAAGCTAGTCTAGTCTCCAATCGATTTAGAACTCTGCTCAACTCAATGTACAACAGTGAACACTGTTTTAGCTAAGTTTAGCTAAGTTAGCTAAACTATAATAGCTATAATAGCTAAGTTTTCAAGTTTTCAAACAAACTACTTCTTTCAATAGGTTCAAACTAACTACTTCTTTCGATAAGGTTTTGTGAAACTCACCAACTGGTAGCACCAATTCTTCAACACAGTGATCGAGGTCATGTAAAACGTTGAAAATCTTGATATGCTGAGTGCCGGCAAGAGCCAAGAAGGGACGATCACCGTTACCCCAAACGGCTTTGAGAAGAGGATTTGATGATGGGCCGGGGGTTGGCTCGGGTGGACGGAAGGTTTGACGCTCGATTATCTGTATTTCATTCGTACAAGATTATCCATTCGTACAAGATTATTCATATCAAAAGATTTCATATTTGAATGGCGGCAAAGAGTGCCAAAAGAGCGCCAAAAGAGCCAGAAGAGCGCGGTTCAAAAGAGCGCCGCCAAAGTGCGCCAAAGTGCGCCAAAGTTGGCTCAGGTGGACGGAAGGTTTGACGCTCGATTATCTGTATTTCATTCGTACAAGATTATCCATTTCATATCAAAAGATTTCATATTTGAATGGCGCCAAAAGAGCGCTAAAAGAGCACCAAAAGAGCGCCAAAAGAGCGCCAAAAGAGCCAGAAGAGCGCCGTTCAAAAGAGCGCCGCCAAAGAGCGCCAAAGTGCGCTAAAGATTACTATAGTTCTCAAGCAGCTACCATTTTAAAATTACAGCCTTTCCCCTCTCAAGTAATAGTGCAAAATAGAGCGCCAAAAGAGCGCTAAAAGAGCGCCAAAAGAGCGCCAAAAGAGCCAGAAGGG